GTACAAGAGGAGAATGATGTCTCGGGATTTGCTTGAGAAGCATCTATGGATGCAAGCCAGCATTTTGGTCGCTTTACTAGTCACAGCATCGCATTGAAGGCTCATGTTTATCTTGAGCATACAGTCTTCTTTGCTGATAAAATATCTACCATCCCATTGTCTTCTCATTCATCCCTTATGGTTTCTTCTATTCCTGGCTCTCTAAACAAAATATAGGTGAGCTGAAAATATAACATCCTTTATTTTATTTTTCTCTTAATAGTCTTAACCAGAAATCTGATTAAGACTAAGGTGATTTTGGTTTATATTTACACTCCTCTCCAAGATTAAATACTTTGAAATTGACGTGTCCAAACCACGGGCTAAACTGAACCATCAAACGTCAGGATGCATGCCTCCATGAGGCACAAGCAAATGCAGTGTGTAGAACTCATTGCCACAAGATCTCATTTTATATTTGGCCATTAGGCATTCCCATACTTTTATCAGGTCCCAATGAGAGTTGGAAATAAAATCACTTACCTGAGATGGCAATTCCTACATTCCACTGGCATCAATTCTCTTAAAAGATGGTGCCAAGATATCACCCTTTATAAAGCAGCATTCATGTAACATGCCAACAAAATTAGTGCCTGAGTTATTTCTATCATATATGTACATACCAGCCATTTGTCTCATTTTACAGGACTTTACGTTTTTTGCCGTCACTTTCATCTGCAGTTACTTTTTCTGAAAACTAGTAAATTCCTATTACCAACTTACTCCCATTATTCACTACTGTTCTTTGGTATGGTGCAAGTCTGGAGGGGATGACAACTAGATGGCCATAAATCACCTTTGAACTCACCTGAGTCCTGAAGCCATGTGGTTGGCAGTTGCGTTTCCCAGCATAAATAAAATCAGGTGAAAACTACTGTAATATACATTGACTTCCAATGGCCCTTAAAGTGTTTGGAGACATAAGTCATGTCCTATTCTGTCTCTAGTGGTTTCTGGAAGAAGAGCACTCTATACACCCTGAGGACAGAGTATATTCCTCTATGTATATTCCTCTACATGACAGGAATTCTCCTCTGGCTCAAGCAGCTGTGTTTAGGACTGCGTTGTAAATCAGGAACTGGGGCTATTTTCTGCTATTTCAAGGCAATTCTAACCCAATTTTTGCAGGACCCATTCCAAAACAAGTAAAGAGACCTATTTACACCTGATTCAACATTTCTTTGGAAACACTTTTCAATCACAAAAGGTTAGATGCCAATGACTTCTATTTCCCTGAAATATTTCAGTTCACCCCCTCAATGGTGCATTCATGTGCATCTATGCATATGCTTCCAAGCCTACTTTTTGATGGATATTTCTTATCTTTTATGACACATGGATGTTTAAAAATACCTCCACTGGATGACCTCCAAATAACCATCGAGTTTTCTAATGTTTTCTATGCAGACAGGAGGAGGTATTTTCTTGTGCTCCTGCTATATCCCACCAAGTTTTGCTGTGAAATACCATGCTTTTCTCAGACATTTCTGCCTCCTTTCCCTAGGTATCAGTTTCTATTTCTGCCATGTATCTGTTGTTTTCCCCAATTCATTAACTTAAACCGCATAGCTATGCTTATCCCTTCAGCCAATCCATTTTTCTTCGGTTCAGGTATGTCTTGTCCCACTGTACAAATGCTTCAGCTACAATGCTGCATTCTTTATTTTCTTCAGGAAGCTCTGTGCTGAATAGAGGCTGTGCTGAATAGGCCATATTAAATAGAAAATGCGTGGGTTAAAGATTTACACAGCAGCATCTGGGTACAATTTCAGTAAACAAGCAGATGATCTAGGACTTTGTGTGCTTAAGAACTAAGCTACCGTAGAAAAAGGGAAAGATTTGTTTAGACAAAATAATAAGTTAAAAACATAGCTGCAAAATCAGAGAACACAGCACAGGAACACAGGCCTACAAGAGGCGTCCTAAACCATCTTGTCCAGCCCCCTGTATTCCCTGCCAGGAGTTATCCAAAGATCTGAACGTGGGTCATTACAGCATGTTAAATATTGTAGTCAATCACAGTCATATGAAATCCCAGATGCTTGAAGAATTATTTAGCTCTGTCCCCACACAGGAAACTATATGGCAGCCCTTTTGGAAATATTTTAAAGGCTTGCTGTATTTCTAGAAGATGTTTTTATTAGACTGAGGGGTGACTTTCCCACTCTATTTTATTTTCCCTTTCAAGCATATTTTGAAAAGTAACCTGTCTGAAAGCTGTGAATAGGTGGATATTTAACAGCCTTTGTTTGTGCTTTGAATACTTTTGTGAAGAAGGTGCAGAAAATATCCACATAAACAAATCACAACTCTTGATGTAGCTGACTGGTAAAGTGTGAACCCACAGTATTTGAAAAGTATAATGTTATTGCAAGATAAAGGTTTCAGCCTTGAATTGAAGATGTTCATTTACATTAACCAAAACAGTCAATATTTTTTGTTTGAAAGTATACATTTGAAAAAAAGCATTTAAAAAACAACATATAAGTGATTTAAGGTTGCTGTCATACACAATAGGCTAAATGACATTTCTTACTAGAATATGGCAATTTTTTCCCAACTATTTCTCAAATGTTCTCACTTTGGTTTTTCTTCTTCATAGAGGACCTTGGAAGAAAATGATGCGTTACTTTTTGCGTTGAACATTCAAAGTTCAAAGTAATGGAAAAATGCATTTGCCTAAACTTTCAGAAGTGGCAAGTGATTTTTTTGGTGCCAAATCAAAGATAATTTACAGAGGCATAGATTCCAAAGAATAGGAGCTCCGTACTTCATTTATCTTAATATAGATACCCCAAACCCTAAGGTATTCAAAACTGTTACTCCATTTACCAAATATAGGGTACAATTTCATTTTAAAATGCTAAACATTTTTTCAACCCTCATATCATCAGGTAAGCTTACTTCTGGGTGCCCCGACTGTCAAACATAACCTGAGAAATTTCTTCTAGGATGTCATGATCAGGGAACAAAAGTCTCACTTATAAAAGTATTTTCTTTATTTTTATAATTTAGCTGAACCAACACAAAACTGAATACTGTAAAGCAACAAAAATGTTGTAACATCTTTAATTGTTCTGTGTTTACTAAGTAAGGCTACTACACTCCCTTTAAAAATAAACTGAAACAAAACAGAAAGTTGATAGGATGAGGGCTCTGGCTCTTGAGTTCTACTAGTACAGTAACTGTATTTACCATCATTTATTGCATGACATTTTAAACCTGACATCAGTCATTTATAGTGCAGTCAGTCCATAACCCTTTTCAAGTGGCTGGGCTTTAATTGCTACTTTGACACTGGTAAAAACCCCTAAGATTAAATAAGAATATTGTATATATTTATTTTACTCAAAGACACAGTCACCTACAATTCATGGTTCCTGTAACCTCTGTATTTAATAAGCCTCAATATTCGAACAGGCCTTGAAAAAAAATCAGTTATTTTGTTCTTATATTTTTCTTCTATGATTGCTTGAGCAGTCTGTCTATAATTTTCTTTAGTAGCATAGAACTAGTATAATACTAAAAGTTAACTGGAGTATTAGGTAGCATACTACAGTGGAAATCTGGAGAAGTACTTAAAATCAGAATACATTTGCCAGAAAGAAGCTAACCTCAATTGTTGGTCTCATCATATCAGTACGTACCAAACCTCGTACATAGAAAGGTACAGTAATAGGGAGTAGGGAATTTTCTTTTTTATCATTTCTCCTCTTTTCTATGCTGCTCTAGCATTAATTTTCACTACCTGATAATGCTGACAAAGTGGGATTTCTACTGATGAGGTAAAACATTGAAACTGAATCAAGGAATAGGTTGCAAAATGACCTTTGTACTGTATCATGTAAAAGAGGGCTGGGAGAAGGAGAGAGAAAAATAACTCGGTATGAAAAGCAATGATTAAAATATTTTACACTCTATTTTACCAGTACATAAAGACAAAAAATGCCTTCCAACAGTGCAATGGTTGAATGCATTTATGTAATATAAACAACATTATTCTTTGCTTTTTCTACAGAGTCCTCTCTGGTCATGCTTTACATCCAGAACGTCCCAATGGAAGAAAGCAAACGACACCAGTCACTTCAGAAACAACTGAAGTAATAAAACACAACTTAACTCTGAACCACTTGTCATGACTGTCAGAGTTACCACGTTAATTGTTAAATAGGATTTTCTACAAATATACAACATATAAAAACTGTTAAATATATAACTTTAGGCTTTTCAAAATACATTTAATGATCTCTTTCAAACAAGTGTTACTTTTTTTTTTCTTTAATTTGCTTTCTGGTGCTAAATGGTGTATCAGATGAGACATAGGCCACAGATGACCAAACATGCTCTTTGCAAATACTGTATTATCCAACTTTAACTATCAAAAATGGAACTGTAGAAGAGGCATGTTTAACTGGTTAAAACTGAAAATGATTTTAGTACGAGAAAGTCAATCTAAGTACAGAGGAATAAAGGTGCCATGTAGACAGTTTGTATTCTTTTCATCTAAGTAGTTCAAACATAGGTCATTTTTCCCTCGCTGCTCCATTATGTTCTTTAGAATGTGTGTTTTTTTCAAAGCAGTTTTCTGGTTTAGTTTTTACTGCAGTGTCCCATAAAGACTTCTGCTGGACAGCAATATCTCAGCTTTGTGACAACTGAATTCATGTCTTTGTGGAGACCCCCTACATTTTAACGCAGATAACTTTGTTAACAGTAAGATTGTGTCCACTTTAAAATAGATTTTTCTCTTTGGTCTATCGTATATACTGAAAGTATAAGAAAATAAAAGCAATTCAGACAGTCCAGGGCACAAGAAGAGTTTCTCTTTTGCAACTCATTGTCCTCCCATAGACAAAACAGTCTTCTCTAAGGCTGATTGGGATGATACTCTTCAGTGTAGTAGACTCTTCAGATTAAAACATGTAGGTAACATCAAGTCCAGCAGTGGTGTATAACGCAGATGAAACGTTAACCATGAACTTTTTTGTATTGCTAATGCCCAGGCATATCTCGCATATCTATATTCCTTAGTCCAGTGATCCTTAGTATGGTAGAACAGACTTTAGCTCATAATGTAGAAGAATTATGCTGTCTTTTATGAGATACAGAGAAATAGACAGTTGAGTTGATGACATATAACAAATGATGATCCACAGCAGTGAAACTTGACTAAGTAGCTCACACAGAGCCTAGACCACTCCTACAAGGATTCTCTGTTGCTGTATTTGTCAGGAGACCTGTAAATCAATAAGAACAAATGAGTCAACATCTTACTTTACCATCTTGGCTATCTTTGCTTTCCATTACTTTAAAAGATACTGTACTGAGATTTCAAGGAACAAGTTAATGAACTGGAAGATATTTATTTCTTACTGCAAATATTTTCTGTGAGAAACAGTACAGAGATAGTCTATATACTTTATTTTTTATAAAAAAATGTAGTGCTATTTTAACCCTCATGCCTAGTTAAATTTAAAGTTCTATGAACATTTTCTAAACTGGCAGTTTACAACAGTTTAGCTATCACTGTCTACTAGGCCCCATGCACTCCCATTTTTAATTATATCATCATAGACTGTTCTTCTCTTCTAATATAATTGCATATAAAATGATCCAATTCATTTTACTATGGAGGTTATAATGCCTTCTGTCTTGTACAGCTAAGTCATGATAAAAACTGAAATAAAACAGTATATGTAGCCAGTAAAATGCAAGTATTTTTATACTAGAAGCGTCTAATATCTAATAATTGGTAGCATACCCCCGTTGCTCAGCACACTAATTTAATCAATACTGCCCTCTAGTGATGCCATTACAAGTACAAATTAATGAAAACATGTATATTAATAGACAATTTAATTAGAAAATTGTTTTTAATTGCAGGGGGAAAAAATACTCTAAAAGAATGAAACTGCAAAAATCATTGGCTAGTAAACCTGAAGAAATTTAAATGGGGTAAAAAGCATTAAAAAAGAAAGAAAAGGCAAGCTGAAAGTGAAACAATAGAACTAAGTTCACAATGAACAGAAAATAAGAACATGGAAGGCAGAAAGAACACAAGTTGTAAAGAAATGATTGATTTTCGTAACAACCAGGAGACAACCGGAAAAACTTACCCAGAATACAAGTTTATACATTATTTCTACATAACACAGTTATTGTTCAGAGCACAATAATTTAAGGTGTATTAAACAAACACGATTACTACAAAACATATGTTCAAATACTATCTTCTTCTTTGGCATTCTCAAATTCCCAAACAGTGAGAATTCTCATTAGTGATGAAAATACTCTAGAAAATAGTGAACATTGAATGTGAGAGAGCAAAACAAATAAGAATATCCAATTCATTTGGTTCAAACTGGGTATAAAATTTAGATGTATTATTTAACCTACTCCTTGGAGAGGTAAAGGAAAGCACCTTCCTACCTCCCAATTATTTTACTGACAGTTTGAAATATTTGTCTTCCTACTTCTCGCTCTCTGTGCACATATATATATATATGTGTGTGAGTGTCTGTGTATATATGTATGCATATGTATATACATATTCCTTTTAAGGCATAAAATGTATTTCATAGATTTCTGCTTTTATCCTCTCACCTTTTCCAGGAAAAAACACCCCAGAAATCTTGCAAACAGCCTTTCCTTTTCGGACTAGTGATCAGATCTCCAAACCTCATGGCCTCAGACAGGCTGAAGGCAAAAAACCTGGATGATTATTGTGGTATATTCCCTTTTTTATATATACATTCAGCAAAAAGAAATTATGTTAATGTTTTGCTTCTGTCAGATGTTTTGCTTCCCTTTTATGCTCCTCCTTTTGGTTTGCCCTGTTTCCCATAGTTCCCGTCCCATTGTACAGGCCTAGGATGATACTATCAACTTTTTAAACCTGAGGATTAATGTTTATGAAGAGTGGCCCATGAAGCAAGAGCTTTTAGATTGAATAGGTTTGAAAATAAACTATGACTCAATGAAGAATTAGTCTGACCTAGCTCAGTCTTTCCTGAATTTTGCTGGAAGGGCCTAAGCTAAAAAGCAACAGCATAAACTGCTGATGGACTGCATGGTCTTTTTATAGGGAGTTTCCATATTAGAGGTCCCAGGATAGAACAATGTTCAAATACATTCATACCAGGCACTTGTTGTTTTATCATTTCACAGATGTAAAAGTCTCCTTATTGGCTTGCTGTCCCTGACTTCCTTTTTCATTAAGATGTTGTGGGAATATGGTGTCACTTTAAAAAGATGACAGAGTAGAATTTTATATTTTGCAATGCCAGGTCAGGGTGGAGAAGAGAAGGTTGAAAAAATTGTTGACAAGAAGAAGACATATCAGAGAGGGAGATGACAACAACTTTGGACAATGACACGAGAAAAAATGGAATGAAAGGAAAGAAGAAAGTGGGAGGGTAGAAAAGGATGCTTAAACTTTTTTGTTAATGAAGGGAAGTGGAAGAGATGAGAAAAATGCTAGATAAAATGGACAGAGAGCATGAAGTGTTGTAGCAGGAGGAGGGAGTGTAAACCTGCCTTCTCATGTTCTTTCTGTTTTCCCTGCTCTTCATTCCTCATGTTCCAAAATAACCAACTGCTCATGACCCAGGCAGATTAAATGAGAGAACAGAGTGAGACCCTGAATGACCATAATGGACCCCTGTATGAAAAACTCTGCTCCATCCAACTAACAAGAGGTCTATGGTATTGGAAATAAGTTTAAAGGAAGAAAGAGACTTTCATGCTGTTCAGAATGCCGGTCCAGGTCACCTTATTACTGATACAGCTGCATTTAGTCTGTCATATGCTAAAATATGTTACATGCTATGCGAATAAAAAATTCAAGAAAAGTCCTGGGAATTCTACAACTGCATGGCTGCACTGGAATCCAGGCCTCCAATTCATTCCATGGTTCAGCATTGCCTTGTACCAGCCCAACCTTTCAAAATGGCATAGCTGATATAAGGATCAAAGATGAAATTCTGACTGTCCTGAAATCAATGGGAGTTTTACCATTGACTTCAGAGGACTCAGGATCCATCCCCAAGCCTTCAAAAAGTAGGTTTAAGACTTTCCAAAAGAGACTGCTAAGGAGTTCTTGGTACATATTGGCCATTGTGCGCTGGCACAGTAACCCTCCAGTACTATTACCTTCCCTTTCATCTCAACTGATTTTTCTGAGTTGCTGCTGAGGTTGTCTGTCGGAAATATTGGCATCTGATGTTTAAGGGACTGATAAAATCATTACGAACTTCATGGGTAGCATACTTCCCTATTATTGCCCACAGCTCAGTAAACATGCTCATCTCACATCCCTCCATTATGTGGAACATGAGGTAAAAGGAAAATGGAAAGGCCGTCTCTTGATTTTACCTCCCTCTCTTCTGTAAGGAGTCTCCCTTCCCCTGCAGAAAAGAAGCCTGCTCCATCTCTCAGATTTCTGCTTTGTTTCCAAACTTTCTGCAGAGTTTACAAACTTCTTCCCCAACTGAACCAGAGCTACTGAAGTGTTATTCTCATCAAAAGGGCCGAGGAAGAGCTTTTGTGGTTTGCAGGCATTGCTCCACAAGAGGATTTGCCATTCTTGGGGCCATGTCACACATTACACATAAGACATGTTAAGTGCACTCAAAATGCAAGCATTCATGCATTCGACCAGTAAAACTTGTGCTAAGTGCAACCATATCATAGCAAAGCTACACATCTTTGTGGGAAGAGTATCTCCAGATTGTATAAAGTAACACCTGTTTAGCTATCGTTGGACTGCTCCATAGAGATAATGCGAGATAAAGACTCCAGTGCAGTGCGGAAGCTGGGACTGGCGATCAGCTAATTGTTGGTCTGAGCTCCAAGTTCAGGACTCCCACACAGTGCCAGTTCAAAACTACCAGCAGCAGAGACTCTGCTCACTCCACAAATTCAGTTGCAATTGTGGAGCCCATGGCAGGAGTGGCACCCTTTCCTGGGCTTTGTTCCCCTGCCTCCCTCCAGTGGCAGAGGCCTGACTTGCCCCAGTGTGGGGGGTTGCATGTCCTCACAGGCAGATGTGAGAGCTGCAGCACCTGGTGCTGGGATCAGGGTCCAGGAGGTATGGCTCAGCCAGCTGAAGCCCCGTCCAGGGAGGCCTGAGATGTTAGTAAGAATTACGAGGCAACAGCTGAGAACACGTTCTAACTTTTAATATGGCACAGTAATGCTTACTACATCTCAGATAACACATGTGGTGAGTGTCCCATATGACAAGGCCCTTGATTTAAACTGAAGGTGGCCGAACAAGTTTGTCAGGAGCTGCAACTTTACCCCATCACAGGATGATCCTGAAATTTTAAGCCATCACCAACTGTCCACCAAGAGTCATATCTTATCGCACTAGTATTATGGATAACATCAGAGCTAGATCAAGAAACTGATACGATATATAAAGCAACACAGGCTACAGCAGATACAGTAAAATAAGCTTCTACTTTTGGCAGTACAACTGTACATCTAGAAGGCCATGTCTATATTGACCCCTTGCCAAAAAACAGATTTCTACTGAGAAACAAACCTCGCCCGCTCACTCACACTCGACAGTCACCAAATGTAAGACATGAGGCAGTGGAGCGGCCTTGAGTGTGTCCCAAGGAACACGTTGAGTGAAAGACAAGGAAGTCAAGACCAGGATATGCTCAAGATATCCAAACAATCCACTCTGCCTTACTATCAAGCTGGGTCACCATATCATGGGAGTGGATGGGGTTTGTTTCTTGGTAGTAGCTCCAGGCCCCTCAGGTAAACAGAACGGGCCTGACTTAAGACTCTTTACTTCACTCTGTCGTAGTGGTGGAATTAGACAGTTAATTGATATGCCAGAGGTTTCTCCTCACTATTTACTGAAGTAACCTGCTTCAAAACTGAATTTTTTGACTGTCTTACACGTCTTGATTTTTGTGTGTGTAAGCACTTTTTTTGTTTATGCAAGTACATGCTGTGAAAGATGTAGGGAATTGATTTTTTAAGGAGCCTCATTCTCAGGCTCTAATTTTGGGCCTGGAGTGAAAGGGTGTATATTGTCAATGATTAGACCTCTGCAGCCTGATTTAAAGCTTACTGAAATTAATGGAAATTTTTGTTTGCCTTCAGCGGGCTCTTGATCATCCTACTATCACACCATACTGTCATCTACACTTGCAATTAATTGACCCTGAATGAGATGCAAATTTAGAGGCTATTTAAAAAAAAAAATGGCCAAACACATTGGGTTCTGCACAGCTTACAGTAAGATGATTATGATATGCAGCTGCTCAGAGTTTGCGGTTGTCAGGTTCGGATGCATTAAACTAACATCTATCTTTTTTAAATTAACCTAACACCACCATCCAGAAACTCTGTTCTCTGCATTTATAAGTAGGGAAGTCCAAATGACCCTCATCTACAACCTGTCCCACAAAATACTGTCCAAGAAAAATGAGTGAATAGCTTAGCAGCTGTTTTCTTGGCTAGCTATTATGACACCACTCAAAGTATAACAAAAATAAAATATTTCCCATGGCTACAGAAGTATTATAGTTCATGGATGGTGTAAATATGTGCTAACAATAATTGAGCTATTAAAGCAATTATAACACATTGCCCTTAGTTCTTCTTATGTGGAACCAGAGCAAGAAGGAGACCTCTACGACACTGACCAAATGATGCAAAAAAAGCTAGGCCATAGTTCATTCCTGAGCAAAAAGAAAGGAAATATTAATTATCTTAAGGTGAAAATGTATGGTGGTCCTGTTACCTAATGTACTAAAATGAGCAAAGTATCTCACTATAGTATTTATGCTACAAATAAATAGTAACACACGGCAAATGTTTTTAGAACAAGGACCAAGTTTCAAGCATGTCTAAACTGCACTTTTGTTATATGAAATCCATATAACACACACACAAATGCACCACAAACTTGGCACAACTTTAGCAGTCTGACCTGGGCTGAGCTCTATGTTTTAAGAACAACAATGAAAGTCAGGAAATATAAATCAAAGATGAAGTCCTGTTACGTAGCAGCCAAGTACCCAATTTACACAAATGGCATGGGTGGTATAAGTGAGGGACTGTCCATCTCCCCTCTGGTCTTCCAGAATATGAGTTTCTAAACTATGATTTTTTTTCCAATCCTGATTTTGGAGGTTCTCTAGGGTACAAAACAATGTCACTGGTCATCTTCAGGGTTTTAATGTTGAATGGTTTATGCAATCGATACGTTTAACACTTTTCGTTATCTTTGAAAAACATCCTTGCTTTACTTGTCTGTTTTAGCTTAGTGTCCATCACTGGACTCTTTCAGCCTTGGTTCTTCTTTTTCCTCGCTTGTACTACTGTACAGGGAAGAAAGAAGAAACTTAACACAAATATAATTTAGAAAGATGGATATAGATTTGGCTGGCCTCTGCTTCAGAAAATCTGTTCATAACAGAAACAGTTTCAATGCTTTGTAACACCTGACAGATAAACAGTATGTCATTGCCCTCCGCTTCTGCAACTGTTTGCTCCAGGATTCTGAATAACCAAGCATGTATAATACAGAAACAGAGAGAGAACGGCACTAAGAAACTGACACTGCCTTGCAAGGTACCTTACGCTTCACAGGAATAAACATGTACATTTCTGGCAGTGATCCTAAGAGCAGCCCTAGCCTGTTCCATTTACGTGAACTGCCACAGTCCCTT